CTGGGGTCTGGCTCGAGGTCCCCGCGCGGCGCTCTCCGGGCTCCCGCCCGAGCTCTCCCGGAGCCGAGCCCCGAGCCCCAGCCCCCGTGCTTGGTGACGTCAGGCAGCGGGCCGCGGAGTCTACGCAGGTGATTTGCATAATGAGGAAGCCGCGGCCAATCACAGTGGGACTTGGCTGGGCTCGGCCGGGGGCGGGAGGGGCGGCCGGGCTCACGCGCTCCCGCTCGCCATGGCAACCGGACCCTCGAGTGCCCCGAGTGTGTCGAGTGCGTGCGGGCGTGGCCGTGGAGCGCGCGTGTGCGCCTCGGGCCGCGCGAGGGGAAGTCGCTTCGTCATGCGTGATGGTGTCTGCATAGTCGGAGCTCATCGCCTCCGCACACACAGGCACACACGGGCACACGCAGGCACACGCGCCTCCGGGCGCCGGAGCGCTTCCTGCGGGGCTGGGTGGGGATTCCGCCTCTCCAGTCCCACTGTCGGAGCCGGTCCTCGGAGCTCGTCCCAGCCCGCCCCAGCGCCTCTCTCTCCTCGGTGCCAGCCACTCCCTAACCCTGAGCCTCAGACACCTTCGTCTCCCTTGCTTCCTTAGAAAGAAAGAAAAAGAGTAAAGCAGACAAAAACCCTCTAGACACTCCTTGGAGAGTCTAGATTCGCTGTCTTTACTCGGCACCCGATACGCACCAGGCGCCCGTCCGTGCCAATTGCATGAGCTCGGGAGGGTTCGCCTCCGCTCCCAGAAGAGGAAGCTGAGGCTCTGAGGGTCACGGAGGTTAGGGGCAGGCCCACCGCTCACATCTGCTGGGCCCACGGTCAAAAACGAAATGGAAAGGGGCCTCCCATGTGTGTAAATATTTAAAAGATACAAATCAAGTTACAACATGTTAAATAAAATACGTTCGCCTCTACTTTTCACAAATACACATTCAGAATAATAAAAATGAAAAATACATGTACAGCTATGCTTTTGTTTGTTTTGAGTCGGAGTTTCACTCTGTCGCCCAGGCTGGAGAGCAGTGAGTGGCACGCTCACAGCGACTGCTGCCTCGATCTGCTGCTGGGCTCAGGTGATCCTTCCCCCTTAGCCTTCCAAGTAGCTGGAACAATTTGCGCACGCCACCACGCCCTGCTAATTTTTCTATTTTATTGTAGAAACGAGGTCTTGCCATGTTGTCCAAGCTGGTCTCGAACCCCTGAGCTCAGACAATTCTCTCACCTCTGTCTCCCAAAGTGCTGGAATTACAGGTGTGAGCCACTTCGCCGGACCAGCTATGTTTTGATATGACTGAAAGTTGGTAAAATATCAGAACTGATGGAATTTTATTACTTTTGCATATGTCTAAGTATTCATTCGATGGACCAATGATGTTTGGACAGAGAATACATAAAATAGAGATAAATAATTCCTAAATTATATAATGATTCCATATAGTTCTTTTCTTGTCTCTTTCAGTAAAGTTGCCAATTATATTGTTTCAACAGAGATTTTAACACAACTTGTGTCCTTGGACTATTCCAAGAAACTGCTCAAGAGCAGCAGTAGCAAATGAAATCATCAAAACATTCTTTAAGCAATATTCAAATTCTGAAATAAATCATGAAAAGTTACTCTCTGTAACTAGTTGATTATGAAATGGGTTACCAGAACATTTCACTTTCATTCACTCCTAAGTATTTTTATTTTATTTTATTTCCTTGAGGCTTCCACTTTCACCCTTAGATTATTTACAAATGTGTTGCTCAATTTCCAAGTGTTTGGAGATTTGTCTGTTATCTTCCTGATTTCTAGTTTGAGTTCATTGTGTTCAGAACATACTGTGTATTATTTCACTTTTTTTTGCATTTGTCGAAGTATGTTTCATTACCTCAGAATATGGTCTCTCTTGGTGAATGTTTGCTGATGTGTGAAAAGAATGTATATTCTGCTATTGTTGAATGGGGTGTCATATAAATGCTGATTACATTCTGTTGGCTGATGGTGTTGCTGAGTGAGTGCTTCTATTTTTTTTTTTTTTTTTTTTTGAGTTGGAGTCTTACTCTGTCGTCCAGGCTGGAGTACAGTGGCACACTGACGGCCACCCCAGTGTTGACCTGCTGGGCTCAGGTGATCCTTTCACCTCAACCTTCCAAGTAGCCGTAACTACAGGTATGTGCTACCATGCCTAGCTTATTATTATTATTTATTGTAGAGATGAGGTCTCACCAAGTTGCCCAGACTGACCTTAAACCCGTGGGCTCAGGCAATCCTCTCACCTCAGCCTCCCAAAGTGCTGGAATTACAGGTTTGAGCCACTGCACCCAGCCTCTTGCTTGTTGATTTTATGTCTAGTTGTTTTAGCAATTGTTGAGAGAGGGATGTGGAAGTCTCCAACAGTAATTATGAATTTATCTGTTTTGCCTTTCAGTTCTATTAGTTTTTGCTGTTGTTACTTTGTTTTGTTTGGATTTTTTGTTGTTTTTTTTTAAGTGTCAGGATCTTATTTTTTCTCTCCAACTGGAATGCAATGGCACAATCTTGGCTCCCTGTAGCTTCAAACTCCTCAAGCAATACTCCAACTTTAACCTTCCAAGTAACTAGGACTACAGGTGCATGGCACTATGCCTGGCTAATTTATTTTTAGTAGAGATGAGGTCTCACTATGTTGCCCAGGCTGGGTTGTGAACTCCTGGCCTCAAGTGATCCTCTCACCTTGGCCCCAAAAGTGTTGGAATCAAAGGAATGAGCCACCAAACTCAGCTGTCAGTTCTGTTAGTTTTTGCCTCATATACGTTGTAGCTCTTTCAGTTGGGGACGTAGATATTAAAAATTGTGTCTTGATGGATTGATCTTTTTATCATTAACTCTGTTCTTGGTAAATTTCTTGCTCTGAGAGTGACTTTATCTGACATTAATATAACCACTTATGCTTTCTTTTGATTAATGTTTGCAGAGTAGGCCTTTTTATATCCTTTTACTTTCAAGCTACCTATGTAGTTATATTTAAAGTGAGTTTCTAGAAAACAGCATATAATTGGGTCTTATTAAAAATCCACTCTACCAATCTTTGTCTTAGTTGATATACTTAGACCATTTACACTTAATGTAATTAATGATATGTTAGGGCTTAAGTCTGCCACTTAGTTTTTTATTTTTGTTTTGTTGCCTCTGTTCTTCCTTTAGACATGGGGTCTGGCTATGTTGCCAAGACTGATCTTCATCTCCTGGCCTCAAACAATCCTCCTATCTCAGCCTCCCAAGTAGTTAGGATTTGGTGTCAAGGTAAATATAATAGATTTAGTGGTAGGTAAATATAATAGATTCTATTGCTCCTCTGGAGTTTTGTTTTGTGTGTCATCACACACAGATCACATCTGGTTTATTTTTCCCACCCCTTGTGGATAAGGTGTTCTTTTTTCTAGGTATATTATACATACATAGCTTGTCACAGTCTACTGAAATTTTACCAGTTCAAGTGAAGTGTCGAAACCTAACCTACCTTTAAATCTCTTAATCCTTCCCCATTTATAATTATGTTAAATATGTCCTCTACAAACTTTGAGAACCACATTAGACAATGTTATTCAAACACCATTTAGAAAACTCCAGAGGAGTGGCCAGATGTGGTGGCTTACCCCTATAAACCCGGCACTTTGCGAGACCTGGACAGAAGAATTGTTTGAGCCCAGGAGTTTGAGACCAACCTAGGCAACATAGTGAGACCTTGTCACAAAAAATCAAAAAACTAAATGGGCATGGTGGTGTGCACCTGTACTCAGGAGACTGAGTACACCTGAGCCCAGGAGTCATCTGAGCCCAGAAGTTTGAGGTTGCAGGGAGCCATGATCATGCCACTACACTCCAGCCTGGGTGAGAGTGAGACCCCAGTTTAAAAACGAAAACAAGACAAAAGAAAACTCTAGAGGAGCAATACAATCTATTATATTTGCCTATACTTTTCTTCTTTCTGTTGTTCTTTTCTCCTTTCTGGTAGTTCAAGATTCCTTGTTTTCTCATTTCCTTTATATTTAAAATTTTTCCTTTAGCTTTTCTTTCAGAATAGTTGGTGTCAGATTTTCTTACTTTCTAAATTTTTTTCTTTCTTTTTTTGAGTCAGAGTCTCACTCTGTTGTTCAAGCTGGAGTGCAGGGTCGTGCTCATGGTCAGTGCAGCCTGGAACTGCTGGACTCAGGTGATCCTTCCACCACAGCCTTCCGAGTAGTTGGAATCAGAGGCACATGCCATCATGCCCACCCAATTTTTTTTTTTTGAATTGGAATCTCACTCTGTCACCCAGACTGGAGTGCAGTGGCTGCTCCTGGCCACCGCAGCCTCGACCTGCTGGGCTCCGACGATCCTTCCACCTCAGCCTTCCAAGTAGCTGGAACTACAGGCGTGCACTACCACGCCTGGCTAATTTTTAATTTATCGTGGAGATGAGGTCTTGTCAAGTTGCCCAGGAAGGTCTCAAACCTGCAGGCTCAAGCAATCCACTCACCTCAGCCTCCCAAAGCACGGGATTACAGGCTGAGCCACCAAGCCCGGTTCAGTTTTTTGATTTACTGTAGAGATAAGGTCTCACCAAGTTGCCCAAGTTGGTCTTGAACTTCTGAGCTTAGGCAATCCTCTTGCCTCCACTTCCCAAAGTGCTGGGATTACAGGCATGAGCCACCACACCTGGCCGTGACAGTTTTTCTAAGTGTTCCTTTGTCTGAGAATGTCTTTATTTCCCCTT